CCGGTATACGGTGACGTCTCTATATGAGTGAAAAATTCTCGAATGGGACGTAAAACAATATACAATCAATCAATCAATCAATCAATCATTGGAAAATATAGCAACATATCTCTAAAAATCTTCTTCTAAAGATGCCAGGGGAAGGACTATAATTGTAAACTAGCTGACCATTTAATGTAGATTCTAAATTGCTCAAATGTTGGCAACCAGGGTAAAAATGGAGCCACAATAGGAAACAAGATGTTTACTTAGGAATTACATAGGAATATATCGGGGATTTTTTTTTAATTTTCTCAAGAACCATTTGGTCAGAAAAAGTGAAACTTATGTGCAAGCTTCCTGACATACGTTAAATTCTAAATTGTTCAAATTGTGCAGGGAGACTGTTCCAGAGTCCCAGTGTGCAGTCGCAAAAGCCTCAAAGCTTCGTTTCCCGTATAACTTGGTTAGATTACGAAGTTATGCGATTCTCAAATAACTTAGGTATATTGCGAAATTGAACTAAAAGCCTAGAATTCTCAAAGTGCAATGATCGAGCTTGGAGATACAAATTCATAAGGTCATAAGCCCTTTATATTTCGTTTTATTTGTTAATGATTAACCTAAATGTCTGAAGCACTCAAATGTCAGGATATGTGCAGATAATACATCACAGGATGTCTAATATAAATTTATTGAGGTTTTGAAAAAAGGCTCCACGATGACCTTTCAAAGTCTATTAAATAGATGGAAAGAAAAAAGCGTGCGATGAACTGAAAAAGCAACACACAAGGTATGTTAATTGGTACAGCAAAAAAACTTTCATAATGTTAAAAAAAATATGTATTAAAAGTATGTGATATTACTTTTAGATACTTCTTTGTGTACAGATAGATAAATGTCTTACTTAGTCTGTACACATTGAATCTTTATGCAAAAGAGGTACTCTACGTCGTCTACAAAATTCTATGTCAATACAGCATTTGTGTAAATTTATAACATTGTCATTCTTCCTCATTTAAACTATTCTTGTACTATTTGGTGTTGGCCACACACAAGTTTTTTGTTAAAAAACTTTAATCGGGCAGCCAGATTTATTATGAAAGTGAGAGTAACTCATACTCCTACATTTGATATTTTGCGAGCTTTTGTTAAATTGATGGCTGTTATATATGGAAAACCAGTGCTTGCTTTTAAGATAATAGCATACTCCAAATCTGAGTAAATTATGGTTTTCAATCAAAGTTTCTATTTTTTGCAACTTTTAGATTTAAATTTTCTTCATGGTTAAATAACAGTAAATATACATTTATTTTCTTCATGTTTTTTTGTGATCGGAAGGCCGTATGTTCAAATCACGGCCGCGACTGACTGAAGTCGATAAAAAATGGGTAGCAGCTGTTCCTTCGCCAAGCGCTCGACACTTTGAAGTGAAAGTTGCGGGTTTTTCGAATGACACCTGAAAAACAGAGGTCCTATGTTGCGGTAAGCTTTGGCACGATAAAGGGCCTTCACTGCTCAATTGCTATGAGTGCCAATTAAAGTCTAAATTTGAAACCCTTCACCGGTATATAGTGACGTCTCTATATGAATGAAAGCTTCTCGAACGAGACGTAAAACAACATACAATCAATCAAACAATCTTCATGTTTTTGCTTTGAGTTTCAGTGTAGATATAAAACTGATTGATTGATTGTATGTTGTTCTACGTCCCATTGGAGAATTTTTCACTCATATAGAGACGTCACCATATACCGGTGAAGGGTTTCAAATTTTGACCTTTACTCAGCACTCAGGGCCATTGAGCAGTGAGGGATCTTTATCGTGCCAACGCCTGCCGTGACACGGGGCCTCGGTTTTTAAGGTCTCATCCGAAGGACCCGCAACTTTCACTTCAAAGTGCCGAGCGCATGGCGAAGGAACTGTTTGTAAAGCTCATTATTTGAATTGTACTTTAGAGGAACTAGGATTTCATTCTACGGGTGGCAATCCAACTTACAACCATACCTCCCTTTCTAAGGAGGAAATTCTTCAAAACCATATGTCCGTTTTAGATATTTTTAATATTCCCAAGAATCAAAATGAATTTGAATTACCATACCTTTACAGGATTCCCAATCTTCATAAAAATCCTTACAAACAAAGATACATAGCGGGTTCCAGTAAATGTTCTACCAAGCCTCTTTCTTTACTCCTCACTTAAATATTTACTGTAATGAAGGAGAAACCTCAGGAGTACTGTACAACAGTATATTCGACAAGTGGTGTAAATCAGATGTGGATACTTATAAATTCCAAAGAACTTTTAGAAAATTGGAAATCACAAAATTTTACTAAAAACAATAGAATCAAAATGTACGACTTTTCAACACTTCATACAATTCATCATTGAGTCAAATGCTGACTGACATTTTTACTAATTGTTAGGCCAATATTTACACACTGAATTGTCAACAGATTTTTCCGTTATTTCCTGATCATGACAAAGAGCACACGGCGGGTTTGACCGGTCGGCAGGGGATGCTCACTCCTCCATGGCACCTGATCCCACCTCTGATGTTTTGGAGGTCCGTGTTTGCTCTGCACCTATTCTGTAATGTTTAATGGACTCGCAGGTAGGTTAAGGCTTCCCGTAGAATATGACAGTGCACTCTGTGCCTTCACATCTCTGAACTACCAAAATATGACGTCATAATGGAAAATGACGTCAGGTCACTGCAAACGCGAGGTGTTATGACGGGGAGAGTGTCATAAACTTTACACTTTATTTCAAACTGCATGTAAAATGCTAGATAGCTATTGCAAAATTCGCGGGTCGTTAAAGGTTTTTTAAGTCATATGTCCGAATATTTTAAAAATACACCGCTTACCTACCATTGATTGAAATACATCATGTTCAAAATGCTTATGAAAAATATACTTTTGAAATGTACTCTGTTTTATACCCGTGGTTGGAGGTAGAATTTATTTTGTGTGTATAAAAGAGTCTGGCGCAGGTGATTAATGAGTATTAATCTGAGAATTTTTGTGGAAATCTGTAAGAAGAGGTTCTCTAACTGAATCTTGCTTGGGAAAAATGTGTATTGGCTTTGTTTTAATACAGATTACGATATTGTGTGGAAAATACCCTCAAATTTTTAAGTAAGTTGAATTTCTCAGGAAATATTTTGTACCCAAGTAATACTATGACTTTTCCCAAGCACATTTCGGATACACAAGGATACGGTGAGTTTATTTATATAACAAAATGTTAATAATTATTGTGTTAATCAGCTGCGCCGAAGCGATTTATATGAAACACTTCAAAAAATTGTAAATGACCGTCACGTGATCAACAAAGTCATGTGATATCATAACAAATATGCTAATATATAGCCGAAGGAACCCTTTATATAAATTGGAAATACTGAAGTTCAATACTTATAAATTAAAACCAACACCGAACCGACCTCGCAATGACATATTATGTTTTGGGCGCATTTTAAAGCTTAGGGAAGCCTTAACATAGCTGCACTTTTGAACATGAATACTGTTCTTTATCTCAACATATTTCATTCATACAACCATTCCCCAAGATAAATGGAATTCCAGGCTTTTTGACATCATAGACAGCTGCTTTTTCAATAAAAATGGAACTCGTAAATAAACTTACCTTATCATTGGTCATTTACAAAATTATTTTGTTAAAAAGCACTCTGATTATACACAGAAGTACTCTTAAGTTGATATTAAAAAGATGCTTGAGTTTCTGATTGACAATATCTATGTAGTTTTTGGAAATCCGGTCTTCCAACAATCTGTTGGAATTGCCATGGGTACCAATTGCGCCCCTTATTAGCAGACCTATTTTTGTATTCATATGAACCAGAATTTATTCAAAAACTTCTAGATGAGAAGAAGAAAACACTAACTGTGGCCTTCAGCTCGACATTTTGATATATCGATGACGTATTATAAATTAACAATAGTTACTTTCATTAATATGTCAACTCGATATATCCCAGTGAGCTTGAAATAAAAGATACCACAGATTCTGACACATCTGTTTCAGATTTAGATATTTTACTAGAAGAGGACTTTAATGGTAACCTAACAACAAAGCTTTATCATAAACTTTATGACTTCGGCTTTTCAATCATCAACTTCCCATACTTATGTAGCAATATACCCTTATCACCTGCAAATGGGGTTTATGTCTATCAGTTGATCCGATACGCGAGAGCATGCTCTACGTATAAACATTTTCTTAAACGAGGCAAGCTATTGATAAACACGTTGATGATACAAGGATATCAACAGTCTCGTTTGAAGTCATCTTTTCAAGTTTTACGGTCGATACAATGACCTTGTCAGCACAAACAACCTATCATTGAGTCAAATGCTGACTGACGTTTTTTTATACTTATTAGTCCATTATTTATGCACTGAACTGTCTATGAAGTTTTCTGGGTTTTTTTCCCCTGATCATGACAATGAGCACACGGCGGGTGTGACCGGTCGGCAGGGAATGCTCACTCCTCCATGGCACCTGATCCCACCTCTAAATTTTTAGGTCCTTGTTTGCTCTGCTCCAAATTTGTATCGTTTCATTAGACTTTCGAGATTGAATACTTTTCATTATCTTCATATTTCATTGAAAGTTTTTCATTAAGAACAGGGTCAGTCCCGTGTAAGTTACGGTTTTCTGATATCCATCCTCACTGTTGACTGCACTGTTTTGGAATTTTTGTAAAGAAATAACTGTGAACTTTTACATTCCTGATTCCACCTCTGAAATTGCCAGGGGCCTCTGTTTTACGCCATGTTCACAAATTTGTATTGTTTTTAGGCTTTTTGAGATCGACCACTCTTCGTTATCTTCATATATATCAATTGATGTTCCTTTCTAATTATAAGAAAAGGTTTCCCCGAGAATTCCTTTTTGTTCAATAAAGATTTGGCATCAAATATAAATCCTAATTTTCGGTTTTCAAGGATTTGCAGTGATTACATCTTTCTCTCTTCTTTGTTTTCAGGGGAACATGCCGCCTCTTACAATCTTCCTTCTCGCCATCAGTAAGTGGTATTTTGTGTTTAGCTTCAAAATTTTGTACATTTTGCAAAATGCAACAATCTGTTACAAATATAAGCAAATAAAAGTAGAGGTCATTTTCTTTTCCAATCCTGTTTACTTTTATCCGTTTTGAATGCATTTGGCTAAAATAAATAAATTAATTTATAAATACATTAATACACACTTATTATCAGCAAGAGTCTTTTTTTTAAATTTAGGCAAGATTTGTTTTCTCCTAAAAATTGAAGAAAACACAAAGAATGAAATCATTCAAAATATTTATGAGATGTTTATTGTTTATTTAATAAATCTAGCATCTTACTCTTGATTCATAAGTAAATAATAAAGTTCATTGTGACAAGAACCCATTCTAGAACCCATTGTTTACCTTAGAATTTTCTTTTAAATATCTTAAGCTAAATATAAACATGTGCACTGTAATAATATACATTTTTTTCATTTACAGTTGTCACATTTGTTTATTGTGACAAGAATGAAATACGGTTGGAACAAGATCTAATGAGAAACTACAGCAAAAACATTCGACCATCCAAGAACCACAGGGATCGTTTAGACGTACTTCTGACAGTATCTTTAATTGGCATTGTTCGCGTTGTAAGATAACTACATAATTAAGAGTGCTACAGAATTGTGTAGCTTTGGTTGCTTTTGCACTACTAAACCAAAAATTTTATGTCATTGCCATTTTTTGCTGACAATGACAGACAATAAAAATGATTTTTTTTATTCTCATAACTGAAAAATAGTATATAGAAAATACCAAGGTACAAGGTGTACAAGCGATATAATAAACAGAAAATATGTATTACATACCTTAAGAAAGGATAATAATGTTATTAATCAAGAGAGTCAACTCTCTAAATCATGTATCTAACAATGTTACAAATTTCACAAAGTAGATTTGTATTTGTTAAATTGAAAAGCATTTCAAAGTTCCAGACATTTGAACTCGATTGATAATAATTTGGTAAGTGCATAACTTTTGAGTTCTTCATAAATACCTCGGTGCATTTAAATAAATAATGAAGTTCATTCCCAATTTCAATGCAATAATATAATTTACAAATTATGTTCTCTCTTGGGGTGTTAAACCATCTACCAGTCTCATTAGGTAGTTGTGTAATGCCAGCTCTAAATATTTCTTAAATAGTCCAAGTGGCAAATTCAACAAATATCCTTCAAAGATTGAGGTTTTCATTAAAGATTCTGTAATTAAAACGATTTGATTGCACTTCATTTAGCCATGATTGCTGAAACGGTTCTAAAGGAGTGGTGTGTCTTATTTTTAACCAAGATATATTAATTGAAATTTCACATCACACATAGGTAAATCCCCATTCATTTAAAATTTTCTGAACAAACTCACACCATGGATTCCGATGATTTTTTCAGTGCGCATAAAAGTTTAAAAAACAATTTAGTATTAAGTAGTTTACCCCTCAAAGAATTATTCTAACTTTGACATCAACTAATAAAGGATATCAGCCAAGTTTCCAATACACCCTTAAGTATGGTTATTAGGTTCTCTAACTTAAAATATGTTTACAGAATTTTAAGTGTAGTTTCTCAATAAGTTTAGTACTGTGATAATCCCACATTTTACCCCATATCGAAGTATTAGTTTGATAGTTAAATATCTAATCTTCTATCAATTCCCAAATTTTTCTTTAATATCCACCAATAACACTTTATATACTTTTGTTAGCTCAGTCATACAGTTCTTCGGTATTCGAATTAAAAGAATTGCTTTCACAAAATCGAACACCAAAATCTTTAAAAATATCAACAAATCAAGATGAGAACCTTCAAATGTAAAAGATATTACAATTTTGGATTTCTTACTATAAAATTTAAGATGTCAGTTCTTGCAATACAAATATTTTTAGACAAAAGCATTAAATAATGAAAATCCTCTGATTTTCTAACAACCTTGTTGACCAGTAAATAGTCCGCCAAAATTGGATAGAAAGCTAGACAAACAAACATTCAAACAAGTTGGAGCAATCAGTCACTTCATCAATTTCTACCCTTAGTTGATAAAATTCATAAACAATAAGTTATTAGATAATTTCACCTAAAATACCCATATCATTTTTTATTTTCATAAAGGAAGAACACAATCAGCTATTAATTTCCAGCTGTTGGCTTCAGATGGTGAGTAATACATGCATAAACAAAGTTTATTTAAATATATGTATATGCGCATGTAAATATACTCAAAAAGGAGAAGATAAATATAGCATTCATTTGTTTGATAGCTTTTGTGTATATTTCAATTATCCATAATTTATATAAAGCTGAAATTAAATAGAATTTTTTTTCATAAATGGAACAACACTACATTTGTTTCTAGTGTAATTAATTAATTCTTAACACATTTCATTTGTAAATAAGAACATTTTCTATCAATGCATATGTATTGTATATAAAAACGTGGATTCAATGTTGAAAAATCCTTACTATTTTGAAAATGAAAATACGATGTTCGTCACTTTTTCAACTTTGAAAAATGTAGCAAACTTAACTTTGATACAACGTTGAAATATCAACGAACATTCAACGTTGAAAATATATTGCATCTTCAACGTGGGTTCAACGTTGTAAAACGTTGAAACCTCAATATTGAAGAGTATGAATTATAGTTGTTCAATGTCGCAATTTTTTCCCCACGACTTTCAACATCGAAATAACGTTTAGTATCTACTGGGAATTGCATTCATTATTCTAGTTATACTATACCCATAAAGTATAAATAATGCACGTTAATTTTGTTTAACACACTGAATAAACGATGATCAATTTTGATATATTCGCTATTTTGACTTACATAAAGAAAATAATAATATTTTACATTATAAATGAGTTTTAAATATCATTGCAGCGGCGTATAAGTAGGCCTTATTGAGAAATGGGATAAAGATGTGTTTACCTTTTCTTGTCAAAGTACCTGAGAAAAACATTTCCAGAGATTTTGTTTTACGCATTAAAGCAATGGTCATTTAATTTGATAGTTACACATTCTTAATGATATTTGTTTATTTTTTACAGAATTGGACAGATGTGAATCTTAGCTGGGATCCTAATGAATATGATGACCTAAAACTTATCCATCTTCATTATGATCAAATCTGGAAGCCGGATATCATTCTATATAACTCGTAAGCCTCCAATTACCATCTCCTGTTATGACTAACTTTTAGTGAATCGGATTCAACATGTTAGCTATAATTTAAAGATTTAGTGTTTCATGATTTTTGTTTGATATTTTATGAAGTCAATGAATTTTCCCAATGATTTTTCGTATATAATCTTCATTTAAAAAGATGTGTTTTCCAGGATTGATTCAAGCACGGGATCTTCAAGCAGTACAAATATTCCCATAAATTCGAAGGGACAAGCATTGTGGTGGTCACGATGGATATTTAAAAGCACGTGTGTTATGGATATACAATATTTTCCTTTCGATGTGCAAGAATGTTTCCTTGATTTTGGATCTTGGTCATTTGACAACAGTGACATTAATGTTATTCCGGACAACCTTGATGCCGATCTTGATGATTATCACCCAAATTCAGAGTTTGATCTTGTGAAATACACAATTAATAACTACACATTGCTTTATGCTGAATGGACTCATCCGTTCCTTTACATTAGATACACGATAGTTTTGAAGCGTAAACCGCTTTTTTATTTGTATAATATCTTGATGCCGACAATTTTACTTATAATCATATCACTTATTGGATTTTTCGTCCATGGATCTGAGGAGAAAATATCCATTGGATTAACAACATTGTTGTCTATGGTTGTTTTACAAATGGTTGTGGCTGATAGTCTCCCTCCAGTATCAGATGCAATCCCTCTCATAAGTAAGTCTTAAATCGATTTAAAATATGACACATATTTTTATGTAAAAAACAATGCTGCAGTCACTTTAAATGCTTTGACAAAGGTTAAAACCTTATTGCAAAACTCTATCTCTCTCTCCCTCTCTCTCTCTCTAATGTCTTGAAAAACTTTATTTATATCTTTTGAACAGTCATGATATTTCTCTTTTAGGTTTATATTATGGAATATCAACCTTGCTTATTTCCCTTTCCATAAGTATCAATGCAGTAACTATGAACGTCTATCACTATGGTGACAGTGGCCGTGAAGTTCCAGCCATTCTTAAAAGAATCTGCTTTGGAATCCTGTCAGGATTTCTCTGTATTTCTATCTCTGTAAAAGAAAACACAAAGCAAAGGGATCCAGATGTCCAGGTATAATAAGGGTTTGTACCTACCCCAGTCATTCAGGCTGAACATTTTGGATATCAAAGTGAAACATTGAAGGTTTTCCATGCCTAATAGGATCAAATTTTCTATCCTTTAATGTCCATCACGTACATAATACTCCAATATTAATTTAAAAGCATTTTACAGTAGATAAGGATTTACTAATAGAAAGTTTCAAAAAGGTAATTAACTTAGCATTAATTTTAACAAAGATTGCATTGAAGTCTATGGGAACAAGCGATATTTTAAAAACAGAAATACAAATAATAAGAATATGAATAAATACTGAAGTGGAAAGATGCCTTAAAACATTAGAAATAGAATAACAATTTAAAACGATTTTTACCAGATAAGTTCTTTTAAGGTCAAGATCTAGTAAATGAAATGTGCCTACAGATCTCTCAAATTTGAGACATAAATTCCTTTAAAGATGCTTTATAACTTTAGCTTGGTCAAATAAGGGGTCTCGGAGCATAATTTTTAGGTAAAGAAGACAAAAAATCATATTTCAATGAACAATTACGAAAACCAGTCATAAATACGGAAATTTTTTCCATACCAGACAATGGAAATGTATCCAGATTGCCTACAGTCTCTTAGAAAAAAGGTAGTTTGTATGTTCTTGGCCTCTTCTTTAAAATGATATTAAATTGAATATAGGTATCGGGATTACTTTTCACATGATTTCAAATTGAATTCCATGAAAAAAAAAATTTCTACATAATTATATAAGAGTCGTAAAGTATGGGAAAAGAAAGTTGAAATTGATTATGACGTCATAATAGATCTAGCACCAAACAGTTAGTCTAAAGTCATTTACTAGATCTTGACCTTAAAACTGATATTTTAATTAAAAAAAAAACAGAGAAAGACGCAGCTAGGTTAAGGACTCCCATATCTACGTCAGCCTATGCAGAGGTTTGGGAGAGCTATTATGACGTCACGTTCAAACAATACAAATGAATCTCGATGAATAAATACTACAATGTTCCTTTTAAAACACACGAAATACTTTCGTTTCTCATAAATGTTGTAAAAATAAATGGATGTGCAACTTATCTTGCCATAATAGCACTTAGCGTATGCAGAATGAAAACCAGCTTGATCTCGCTGTACTTACTGAGATGACGTCATTTCTTAGTTTGACACGCAGTTTCTCTGTATTTGAGGCGTGGATCAAACTTTTATCGTGGCTTGTAAAAATGAAAATAGATACGAAACATGCGTAGTCAGACAGAAAGAGAGACATATTCTGAAATATATTAATCCACATTTTATTGTCAAACTAAATTGATAATGTGTAGACTTTATATATAGCCGTAGGGAGCACATTTGTACAGTAACGTGCTAAAATGAGGGGTCCAGCCCCTCGAAAATATAAAAAGTTCAACGATATCCGTTTCACTATAAATTCTGAATTTTTAAACACGTGTAGCCATTATTCCTACTGTTCTGAAAAGTGCTGGGAGCTGGTTATACATTGTTTATTTATTCCGTAATCTAACATTATTCCAGTGCGTATTACATTTTTGTCTGGAGTTTATAGAAAGACGGCTAAATTTTAAACAATTCTCAAGCATGAGGAAGTTGCTCCCAGCACTTTTCGGGTTAAGGAATTTGTCTCAAAGAAAACAAAATAAATTTTATAGCGGAAGAATGTCCGTTTATCGTTGAACTTTTACGATCTTTGTAGTAGTACATATATGGTCCAATTTTAAACCTGTCACGTGACAAACAGCTGATGTAAGCGATGTCACTTTGGCCGAACTCAGCAGAGACCCGATATATATACAAATGCAATCACCACAATTCACATTTATCAAAACTACTGCTGTTAAAAAAATATTAAAAATTGTATTCATTTTCCCTGAATATATAAAGGCGTATATTTCATGGGCGTCCTTAACCTAGCTGCGGATAACTCTTACCAAAATTCAAGGCCATAAATTAGGACACATCCCTACCTTACTCTTGTTAATAGTAATAAACGGGATTATGTCTGTATATACTAAGTATTCAATCCCTACACATCTGTTATATATTCAATTTCATTAAATTTGTTGCTATTAGGGATGCAATACCTTAAATTCAAATTTCAAATACCCGATGTAAAGCAGGTACAGATATTTGCTTTTAAGAAATATCAGGTAGTCTATTGTCGGCTTTCACCTCCAACGAATCAATAAATAGAACCTTATTTCTTTGAATTAATTTTCCAAATAATATATTAATGCGAAATAATATTATTTTAGTTTTGCCTCTTTAATTATACATTCTGAGATCATACATGTATCAATGAACGTTCTCCACTCGGAATACAAGTAATAATGTTAAAATGATTCTACACATAGAGGCAGAATGTTTATTGGTATCTCCGATATACATTTTTAAAAGAGAAATTGAACGTGTTACTGATATGTTTCATTTTTTCCCATTCTTAGTGTATAATTATTAAAACATATGATCCTTCATTTAGAACAGTACATATTCATCCTTTCTTCTCGACTGAATTTCTATTGTATTGAATTTAGCGAAAAAAGTACTTTACTCAATGGCATTTAGTTTTAGCAGTCATTTATCATAAATATTGGATTATATGTAATCTTCCTTCCAACATATTTCTCCATACATGTTATTGTGTTTTAAATTTGCATTTAACACATAAAATGTAAGTAGTAGCCTGCAATACGTACAAAACAAAAGCTACACATATTTATCAGTTTAAATGACGGATTTTCTGGTAAGGAAACCGGAACAGACGTTAAATTTTACAAGTTAATCCAACCATATACATCTTCACTGCTTTTATCATTAAATAACACAGAGTATTTCCTGTGATGACAGAAGAGACATTCTGTTGTTTCATAAATATTGTGACTTTTTCTAATTTCTTATGTTTTGTGAGGTTCATTTATTTGATTTTTTTTTAGCAAGGACATGACTACAGGACAGAAGGAACAGACGAACGTTCTCTCAGGCACCGTTTCAACGAAACACACGAACACGGTGCAGAACGAACCTCACCTGATAGAATAAAAGACCTTGTCTTACTTGAAGAAATGCTGCAGTTGGTTCTGAGAAGTATCAACCAGGAAAATGACAAGCGTATGCAGGAGGAACGGCGTTCGGATTCCCTGAAACGTGAATGGCAAGAACTAGCCTGCGTCTTAGATAGACTGTTTCTAGTCATTTTCCTAATAATTTATGCTTGTTTGACAATGTCGTTATTTATTTCACATCAAAATTGATGCTTAGATAAAAGCAAAAACCAATTAAAAGAAATGCACCTTAGGTTTGCCTACGTAAGTTTTATTCTGATTTACAAAAAGCAATTTTTCTTCGATGTGGCTAAGAACAAAGTAATTGTTTTTGCATGCTACACAGGTAAAATTGCAACGTATGTTTAACACATATTGAACATACGTTGAACATATGTTCTGAAACATATGTTTGCCATAAAAAACGAGCAACATATGTTTAACATATGTTTATGAACATATGTTTATCATATGTTTAACATATGTTGCTTATATGTTTTGTTTGAACATATGATAAACATATGTTTACGTTCATATGTTTTTCATATTTAAACATATGTTAAGTTTAATTCTTAATTACATTTATTTTTAATTATTTTGTATTTCTTTGGATTGCAAAGTTAACTAAATAGTACTCTTGTCCTTTAATCTCTCAATAATAAGAAATCAAAGAACACAATCTCAAGAAATAATCTTGTGATTATTTTTTCAATTTTTTACATAATTCTGGCTTTATTTCCCTGACAGTGACTGCATTGCTTCTGAAATGATAAAGAAAAAAATAATAAAAATTAAGAAGTCAATTACATGTATAATTAATTAGCACAAAGAGTTATAAATGAGCACTTACAATTTTTTTTCTTGGCCTGTTCTTTGTTTTCTTCCATTTTACAACCCCTTGGAACCTCATCATAGGATTTGAAATTGTCACATGTTATGGTACTGGGCGGCAGTACAGTGGAGACTCAAATTTTAAGGTTCTATTGATTAATAAAGGTTCTCTGATATACAAATTAAACTCTACATGTAATTTAAGTTCATACATTGAAGATATTTGTCATGTGCAAACAAATGCATACCCATTCTCCTAAACAGTTATCCGTTATGATACGAGTTAAACCTAATTTCATAAAACATTATCTGGTGTTGTAAAACACCATATAATGTTATGTCCAAGACAATTTCAGTCTTGGAACATATGCTTAAAAATAAAATCATTTAAAGAAATTAGTTTTTCTAAATGTTTACAAATGAATTTGGAATGTTGAAATAGTATAATACATTAATATTAAAGGGATAATCAGATACAATGTATATTTGGACATAAAAAAATACAGGCAAAAATACAGGCAGAGAAATAGACATTTTGTTTTCAATATATCCCAAAACTTTGTTTGGAAGAAAATAAGAAAGCTTGTAATACAGGGTGTACTTAACTATTCTGGAGCAAGCCTAGCAAGGGTCATGGTGTTCTTCAATGTTATTCATAGCATGGAGGGGAGCCTATAAAAATTGTAAAATATATATTCATACAGTAAATATTTTCTAATCAAATTCCAATCAAAACTTAAAAGAAACTTCGAAAGAGAGTGAGTACAAGTCTCTAGTTTCTCTAGTGTTGAAAAAAATTCTATGGCAATTAATATATAAATAAGTAATAGATAAGCTGGTGCAGTTTAAATACATTTAAACTATTATCTTGAATGCCAGATTAGGTTGAAATTGAGCATCTTTCAGATATTTTATAGTTTAAAAGCCAGCAAATTCTATCCATATCAATATTTTCAATATTTTAGTAAAAAAAGAGTTTGATTAATTTTTCATAAAGTAAACCAGTGTAGAATTAAGAAGCAAAAAGAAATTTCTGAAGAAATATTTTGTTATTAAAGAGTCACTCTGTAATTACTGTGATTATTATATGTATTTATTTTCACCTGTATATTGTGATCGTGTAATCTTCAGTCAAATCAGCTCTGGGTTGAATCGTCATTCTTAACAGCTTTGAGTTCTTTCAATAAAAACGGCACCCTAACACTGAACTCCAGCTGCTTAATGCTTAATAAAAACAAACATTTTCCATTAATAATTTGATAAAAGAACCGAATGGATAACCATCTTAACATATGCTACATACAAACTGCTATGCACCATTTCTACTTTAACTTTCATGTCAAGATCGTACATATGCAAACGTAATTATTGACAAAAGGAAAACAAATCTGAAAAATTGGTAATGCTCAATGGTTTTTACATTCGTCGAAAACAAATCCAAAACTAGTGCTAATTGTAACGGGAACCGTTACAGATGTTCCCCAAACGGCTCCCCAATCCCTTATGATGCCCCATTCCCTACAAGCTTCAATAAATTAGACAATACTTTTGTAATATAGATGGACACTTTATTTTTAAGGGTATTTCATTGGAAAACTACTCCGATATAGCCATATGGGTATTAGCCAATCAAATTTCAGCGCGTGTGCTTGCACATGTTTTCTACATTTTTCACATTAATTATCTTATAGTGTCTCACAATACATACATTTGTTTTAAAAATTAAAGAATTTCATTGAAAAATAAGAGAGATGTACCCTTTAAGTATTAGCCAATCAAAATTCAGCATATGCACATGCATGGCCTTGCATTCAATTTTGATAGTATCATAATGTAGGAGCTCTATGTGCCTATCCATGTCATAAATTTCATCCTGTTTTGTTGAAAACCAAGGGAGTTATAGACATTTAAAGTTTCAACCAATCAGATTGCAGCACACCTGCATGCGCGTGTTTTCAAGAAATTTCCTATATAAAATGTTGTAGCACCTTATAATATATACTTATATTCTAATTTTCAAAGTATTTTGTCAAAAAACAAGGAAATTATTGAGATTTTTGTATCAGCCAATCAGAGAAGAGCGCACGTGCATGCGCTTGAGTTCACGCTAATTTGACCATGTTATCTTGTCTAGAATACTAATATATCTTTATATTTTGAGTTTCAAAGCAATTCATCAAGAAATATAAAAGTTACGGCTTCATCAAGTATATCAGTCATTTCACTCATTGCACGCGCGCGCACGTGCATGCATGTGCGCGCAAAATGACCTTCGTTCCGAACACCTACACAACATGCCTATTAACCCTAAAAAGGTTTCATGTCAATCGGATGAGTGGTTCTATGAGAACACTCCCGGACAAAAAAGTACCGGAGAAGAAAGTAGAAAAAAAGAATAATAATAATAATAATAAGAAGAAGAAGAAGAAGAAGAAACAGAGTAAAAACAATATGTTCCCAAACTTCGTTTGGGGAACATAATAAGAAGAAACAGAGTAAAAACAATATGTTCCCAAACTTCGTTTGGGGAACATAAAAACGTAGACAAGATCACTAGGTATATCCACAGGCACTTGTGTCATATACGCGGTACCCCTACTTATTGGTAAAAATAAGTAGGGGTACCCCGTACTAAACAAGTGCCTGTGGGTGTATCGTCTTCTTACGAACTGCATTAATTACAATTACAGTTAGATGTTATGCAAGTCACAAGAGTACTAGACGTTATGAATCTGTCACCCTAAAGAAATTCTCTTAACACCATGAACTAAATTCTAAAATCATATCTGAGAGCACTTACTTGTTTCCAACACCCAACATTTCTGCTGCAGCAGTGACGTCAAAAATGACGTACGTACACTTTCATCCCATAAAAACCAAAACCGGTCCGGAATTAAATAAAGTGTGGAATGATTTTTTTTTTTTCACTCATATAATAAATCCAAACAAAACGTGGTAAAATACAAATTTATTAATTCTTGATCAAATTAATTGGGGAATACAATGTTCAAGAAGACAAATTTTGATTTGAAGAAAGGAGGGGGGGGGGGCTGAATTTGGAGAAACGAGTGGAGGAGGGGTGCAGGGTAATAGAATAGTTAACCCATCCCTTTTTTTCAAGAAATGATCATTCTTTTGAATAAATAAGTATTCAAATTGATCTTGATAAATGTTATTGAAATTATTTTTTAACATGCAGTCTACTTGCATTTGCGGGGGTTGCTTGTCAACTCCGGCTGTTCGGAGGTTGCCCCTTCGAAAACCGTTACTATGGACTTGAAGTGCCTATGGTGCGATTCTATGCATGAGTGTTGGGGGCATCGACCTGGAAACTCCCCTTTCAAAATTTGCGGGATCATTCCCCACGTGTTAAAATATAACATATAACTTGTGTTTTTTATATTAGGCTTAATATTAAATTATTGCTGGTTTACTTATTAACATTACATTAATTAACATATTTTTATCTCGTTAAATTAAAATAAAATTAATTCAAATAACGATAACATTAATTTAATATTAAATGAAATAAATGTGAAAAGTCTATTGGTTATTATATAATGTTCAGTATGAAGTTTATGTGAAACTCAAAACATATGTTGAACATATGTTTGAAACAACCATATGTTTAAAATATGTTCAACATAAGTTAAACATATAGTTACCACAAACATAATTATGTTCAACATATGTTTTGAGTCTGCTATATGTTTAACATATATTTTAAACATATGTTCAACATATTTTTTAAACATATGTTCAACATACGGTCGAAAATTTATATGGTCAACATATGTTACTCGAAAGATATGTTGAACATACGTTGCAATTTTACCTGTGTACACTTTTCGCCTGCACATGTATGCACACGATGAGGATAAATCAAGGTTAAGATACACGAACCCATCCAACATTTCTGTCAGAGACTTTTTTAAAGTTCCTTTATATTTTTGAAACTTGTCCAGGTCCATACTTTTGCATGGTTTTTCTGTAGATTTAATATTTGGTGTCAAGGTGGTACGTAATTTTAACCACCCAGGCGCAAGATTAAATGTGTTTATTTTTGTTCACTTGCAGATATATTCAATGCATATTTTGATGTACATTTTAAAGTATAAATTTGATATGATACGATGTACATTTTAAAGTATAGATTTTCAATTCAATGTGCAAAATGGAAGACCATTCATCTTGCTTTTTTCATTCAATATGATCAGCTGATCAAAAACGTTTTGAAAAGGATTTAAATATAACAATTTTAACAAATTGAAAAGTAGAAAAATGAGAAAAAGAAAGAAAGGAAGGGAAGGGAGAGAGAAAATGTACTTTTACATCCCTTGCAGAATTATGTCACTCATATGAGATGTCACCAGATATTG